GGTCTCGAACCCACGGGCTCAGGCAATCCACTCACCTCAGCCTCCCAAAGGCGCAGGATTACAGGCTGAGCCACCGAGCCCGGCTCACAATTTTTAAAGTAGTTTATACCCATTATCTTAGCTGATCTACAAAATACACAGGGATGCTAATGACTTGTCCTGGACACAAGGGACATGTGTGACAGAGCTGGGACTGCAGCAGTCACACACATGACCAGTTCCAGGAACACAGAGTTAAGTCATTCCTTTAATTTTGAGGGTTTTCTTTTTTAGTAAGAGATAATAGACTTGCCAGAGCAAAGCCAAAATCACAAGCAAATAAACAAAAGATTCCTGTAAGCAAGTTAGGTCCGGACCTGTTTGAGCTCTTTGAGGTCACAAGTGGGAGCATCGAGAGCAGTTCCATGGGTACCTTTAGTTCCCAGCACACGGCAACTCTGCAGTAGTGGATGAAGTCCAGCACGGCCACCACCCCCATACCCAGGCTCAGGAGCACACTGAGGTCGTCCACCAGCAGCACTGGGCACCTCCATGCAGCCTCCCCATTGTTCACGGGTTTCAGGGCCTCCCGCACAAACTCATACAATGGTTGCAGGTTCCCAGCATTGGCTTCCCTGGAGAAACAGGACAAAAGTCACCAGAGTTCACCCTCTCTATTATGCGTTTCAGGGACCAAGTGGCACCACAGGAAAGGGCTAGGGGAGCAATAAAGTGTATCACAATCCTTGGCATCAAGGGATTCATGAGCTGGTTTGGAAAGGAAAGGTACACACACATGCATGAATAAGTTTTAATCCAAATGTTTCCTGAGGCCTACTAGGTGCAAAGCACTGAGCTAGAAACTGCAGGACACAAAAATAAACAGCCCCAGGGCCCTTAAGAGATTAAAGATCAGCTGGGCTCAGTGGCTCAGCCTGTAATCTGCGCTTTGGGAGGCTGAGGTGAGTGGATTGCCTGATCCCGCGGGTTCAAGACCTGCCTGGGCAACTTGGCGAGACCTCATCTCTACAATAATTCAAAAAATTAGCCGGGCGTGGTAGCGCGCATCTGTAGTTCCAGCTACTCGGAAGGCTGAGGTGGAAGGATCGCCGGAGCCCAGCAGGTCGAGGCTGCGGTGGCCGGGAGCGGTCACTGCACTCCAGTCTGGGCGACAGAGTGAGACTCCAACTCAAAAAAAAAAAGAGATTCAAGATTAACTTAGACTGGGTAGGCCAGAGAAACCTTCCTGGGAGGTCATCCATGGCTATAAAAAGTTAAACAGTAATTCAGGTGTCCTTGTGGTGAGTGGCAGTGGCTTAAGGGCTGCTTGATGCATACATCCCGGATTCGACCTGGTTCTGACACAGGCTAGCCTGACTGCCTCCGTCTTCCCCAGTGACTACAGACAGCAGCCATTTCCCAGGAGTGGGTGAGGAAAAGAGTACCGGGTCCTACTGCCTTGTACTATAAGGACCAGTCCCTGGCACTGGATTATCTTCGCTAACAACAAGGACAGCAACTCCCCATACCCTGGGATGAGATATAACCAGCTCCTGCACGCAGATGAAAACACCCAGGGTCAAAGGCGCTAAAGGACGTGTGTGAGGTCACACACAGGGTCAGGGAACATGGCCTCCCCATGCCAGTCACTGCATAAGGGCTTGTCTGAGAGAGAGAGATTGTGAAGGAGAGTTCCTGTATGATGGGAGAAGAACAGCAGCAAAGTGAAGCATCTGCACAGAGGTATGTTTGTGGCTCATGTTCAGAAAGGATGACAAACAGGAAAACCAATCTTAGACCTGTGATTTGAATCCCAAACCAGGGGATAACAAATATTCTTCTTAAAGGTCTGGAGAGTAAACATTTTAGGCTTGCAGGCCACATGATCTCTGTTTCAACCACTCAGTTCTGTTGCTATAGTGCCGAATCAGACAGAGGCAACATGCAAACAAATATCGCTGTAGTCCAATAAAAGTTATTTACAAAAACAGGTAGCTGGCCCACAATCAATAGTTTGCTGACCCCTGAATCAAGCCAAGAACAGAGCCAAGGTTGCATTAGGGCTCTGAGCCAGGGTTGGAAAGCACAGCAAAGCAAATGATCCTTTCTATAGCTTTTGGGCCAATGTATGATCAGAACCAAGGACTTTCAATAATGCTGCTGAGAAGTGTTTGACTCCTGAAGCCAGTTCTGTTCTCCCACACAAGGAGAAGGAATCACATAGCAACCTCTCCTGGGCCCACCTGTCAAGTGTGTACTTCTGGCCTGGGCTGCAGGCTTACTGACCTGAGAAACTGCAGGGGGTGTGGCTCCTTCTGAGCCTGGAAGAAGACATCCACTGAGGACTTGAGGCCCTCGAGGAACACAAGCTGCCCACGTTCTCGAGCCATGGTTAGGTTGACACCCTAAATATGACAGAGAGGAGAGTGAGTTACTGCACCTTGTAGGGGAACCTATCAGAGAGACTATATGCTAGCTCACAAGAAGACACATTTCAAACTCTGCAGAAGTGTACCTGTCCACCCTACATATAGGTCCATCTTTCTTCCCCAGGTGCTCCTAATCCACAAGTCCCATTCTGCTATCAGGTGTGCATCTCCGTTTTTAATTGTCACTTAAAAACTTACATTGTTTTGCTTATATACCTATTTTTATGATTACCCAGTACCAGTTTTTAATCTTCAATGGTAATACAAAGTTTCATTTTTGGCCAGATTCAGTCGGCTCAGCCTGTAATCCCAGCACTTTGGGAAGCTGGAGGCAAGTGGATTGCCTGAGCCCCGCGGGTTTGCAACCAGCCCGGGAAACTTGGCAAGACCTTGTCTCTACAATAAATCAAAAATTAGCCGGGCGTGGTAGTGCACCTGTAGTTCCAGCTACTTGGAAGGCTGAGGCGGAAGGATGGCCAGAGCCTAGCAGATCGATACTGGGGTAGCCGTGAGTGTGCCACTGCACCCCAGCCTGGGCGAAAGAATGAGACTCCACTTCAAAAAACAAAAAGCAAAAAAAAACAAAGTTTCATTTTTAAATGCATATAATCAGCCAGGTGCGGTGGCTCACGTCTGTAATTCCACCACTTTGGGAGGTGAAGGTGAGAGGATTACCTGAGCTCAGGGGTTCCAGACCATCCTGAGTAACATGGTGAGACTTTGTCTCTACAATAAATAAAAAAATCAGCCAGGTGTGGTGGTGCATGCCCACGGTTCAAGCTACTTAGAAGGCTGAGGTACTTCGAAGGATCGCCTGAGCCCAGCAGGTCAAGGCTGCGGTGGCCATGAGCGTGCCACTATACTCCAGCCTGGGCGACAGAGTGAGACTCCGACTCAAAATATAAACAAATAAATAAAAAATAAATGCATACAGTCAGGCCATACAATCTGTTGCAAACATTCTTAACTACTGTTATACAGTGAAAGCAGTCATAAACAATTTGGAAATGAATGAGTGTGGCTATGTTACAATAAAACTTCAAAACAACAGGGGCTGCAGAAATTCAGTTTGCCTATTCCTGCTCTAGATTATCCTTCGTAAATATGTTTCAGGCCGGGCGCGGTGGCTCACGCCTATAATCCCAGCACTTTGGGAGGCCGAGGTGAGAGGATTGCCTGAGCCCACAGGTTCGAGACCAGCCTGGGCATCTTGGTGAGACCTCATCTCTACAATAAATCAAAAAATTAGCCAGGCATTGTGGCGTGTGCCTGTAGCTCCAGCTACTTGGAAGGCTGAGGCGAAAGGACCATCTGAGCCCAACAAGTTGAGGCTCTGGTAGCCAGGAGTGTGCCACTGCCTTCCAGTCTGGGTGACAGAGTGAGACTCCCACTCAAATAAACAAATAAATAATAAAAAATAAACGTTTCTTCATGAACCACCACTCAATTAAGAATTCCTCAAGACACTTGATTAAAAGGTAGATCCCTGGGCCCAACTTCAGACCTCTAGAATGAAGGCAGGGGCCAGGATCTGCATTTCAAGAGGCACTGAGGGTTGGTTCCTACTCTAAATATGCAACCCACTGCTCTATCTGTGTGGAAACAGGTCACATGGAACCCATGAGACTCCCCATGCCCCCAGGCCAGGTCTCAATTGCTCATTCATGCACCAAAAGCCCAGTGCCCTCCAGGATCCAACACCATTTGCTCCAATAGCTGCCCCTGACAGAGGAAAATACTCCTGATTCTTCGCCCTTGCTCTACTTATGTAAGTACAATAACATGCCATGAGTATGGAAGCTTATGCTCCAGTGCCTCACAAGCCAAGCACTAGTACATGCCATTCCTGCTATGCTGAGATGACACTCAAAGGTAAAAGAAAACATGGCCAATCTGGACATGAGAGTACACAGCTTTCTCATCCACAAACACAGATGCTATAGCCATAGAGACATGCTTCAAAGACTTAGAATGCAGTATGTGTTCTTTTTTTTTTTGAGTTGGAGTCTCACTCTGTCGCCCAGACTGGAGTGCAGTGGTCGCTCCCGGTCACCGCAGCCTCGACCTGCTGGGCTCCGGTGATCCTTCCGCCTCAGCCTTCCAGGTAGCTGGAATTACAGGCACGCACTACTATACCCAGCTAATTTTTTTATTTATTGTAGAGATGAGGTCTCACCAAGTTGCCCAGGCGGGTCGCGAACCCGCGGGCTCAGGCAATCCACTCACCTCAGCCTCCCAAAGGCGCGGGATTACAGGCTGAGCCACCAAGCCTGGCTGCAGTATGTGTTCTTGACACAACTATTCTCCCTGAGCTCATACCCTGACCTCTCACACAGGAACTTCCTCCTTCTCTGCAAAGGATGGGAAAGAATCTACCATTTCTCACCCTCTCATTTGCTTCTCCCCAACAGAGAAGAGGCGGTAACTTGACCCAACAGTAAGACAGGCATTTTAAAGATCACTGCTGATGAGTGACCTGGTTCTCTCCCTCTCTGAGGCTGGCCTGTCAAAAAAACCCAAAACCCAAAACACAGTCTTTCAGCTTTCTTCAGTTTCCATTCTCAGGCAGAATATCCACCTGTTCATAATGGCTCAGGTGAGGTTAGGGGGTTTACCAGCCTCATTTTTTTTTTTTTTTTTGAGTTGGAGTCTCACTCTTATTCCCCAGGCTGGAGTGCAGTGGAACACTCACTGCCACTGCCGCCTCTACCTGCTGGGTTTAGGAGATTCTTCTGCCTCAGTCTTCCAAGTAGCTGGAACTATAGACGCACATCACCATGCCCAGCTAGTTTTTGGGATTTATTGTAGAGATGAGGTCTCACCAGGTTGCCCAGGCTGGTCTCCAACTCCCAGGCTCAGGCAATCCTCTCACCTCGGCCTCCCAAAGTGCTGGGATTACAGGCTGAGCCACCGTGCCCAGCCTTAACCAGTCTCTTAGACATCTTGTTCTTGTCTGACTGCTTCTGATGAGATGAGGGGCAGGCAGCCCTAGACTGAGGGAAAGACAGTGGGAGGAACCCAAGTTGGCAGCAGAGCAAGGTATGATCTCCAACCTCGCAGGACCAAGACTAAAGCCCACACTGAGAAGAAAACTTTCCCTGGTCCAGAATCAGTAGAGAATGGTTTGATGAACTAAAATCTACAAATAGCAGATATTATCAAGCAAATTTTCACTTAATAAAACGTGCTGGGGCCCACACCTGTAATCCCAGCACTTTGGGAGGCAGAAGCAAGAAGATTGCCTGAGCTCAGGGGTTTGAGACCAGCCTGAGCAACATGGTGAGATCTCATCTCTACAATAAATAAAAAAAATGAACCAGGTATGGTGGTGCATGCCTGTGATTCCAGCTACTTGGAAGGTCGAAGCAGAAAGATCATCTGAGCCCAGCAGGTCGAGGCTGCGGTAGCCGTGAGTGTGCCACTGTGCTCCAGCCTGGGTGACAGAGAGAGATTCCGACTCAAAAAATAAAAACAAAAATAAAACATGCTGAGATGCTGCCTCAGCCCTTCAGATAAGGGGTTCTGGATCCCAAGATTTCCTTAAGCCATTCTTTGCTAAGTTCTCTACAACCCAAACAGGAAAGTCCAACCTTGGACATGCTCACACATGCACGGCACACACACTGACTCTGGAACCTCACCACGGAGCTCCAAAATATTTACCAGCTTCTGTCCCACGATATTGTAGTGGCTGAAGGACTGGATAAGTGCCACAAAGCAGACTTTACAATTAGCTAGAAAACAAAATAAACTGATTTTTAATAAATCCTCTGATGAGGCACAGTGGCTCACGTTTATAATCCCAACATTTTGGGAGACCAAGGCAGGAGGATCATCTGAGCCCAGGAGTTCAAGGCCAGTCAGTGCAACATAGCAAGATCTTGCCTCTACAAAAAATAAAAAATTAGTCAGGCATGATGGGTATGTGCCTGTAGTCTCAACTACTAGGGAAGCAGAGGTGGGAGGATTCCTTGAGTCCAATTCAAAGCAGCAGTGAGTTACTACAGTTTCACTGCACTCCAGTATGGGTGACAAGGCAAGACTTCATCTCTAAAAAAATAAATAAATTTGGGCCGGGAGCAGTGGCTCAGTCTGTAATCCCAGCACTTTGGGAGGTGGAGGCAAGAGAATTGCCTGAGCTCAGGGGTTTGAGACCAGCCTAGGCAACTTGGCGAGACCTTGTCTCCACAATAAAACACAAAAAACTAGCTGGGCATGGTAGCATGCATCTGCGGTTCCAGTCACTTGGAAGGCTGAGATGGAAGGATCACCTAAGTCTAGCAGGTCAAGGTTGCGGTGGCCATGAGCATGCCGCTGCACTCCAGCCTGGGTGACAAGAGTGAGACTCCAACTCAGTAAGTGAATAAATAAATAAATTTATCCTCTGCTTACAGTCAATCTCACAGACTTCATACTTCTGGATACAAAAGCACTGAGGCAGCTCTAGAGACCCAACCTGACACATCCAATTTGATTCTAAGGTGTTTTTTTCCTTATTTGACAGTAACACCTTATTTCACTGATTTTAAGATGCAAGATGTAGCCAGGCTTGGTGGCTCAGCCTGTAATCCCACGCCTTTGGGAGGCTGAGGTGAGTGGATTGCCTGAGCCCACAGGTTTGAGTCCTGCCTGGGCAGCGAGACCTCATCTCTACAATAAATCAAAAAATCAGCCGGGTGTAGTAGCGCATGCCTGTAATTCCGGCTACTCAGAAGGCTGAGGCGGAAGGATCACCAGAGCCCAGCAGGCGAGGCTGCGGTGGCCGGGAGTGGCCACTACACTCCAGTCTGGGTGACAGAGTGAGACTCCAACTCAAAAAAAAAAAAAAGATGTAAGATGTATTTCTTTTTTTTTTTTTTTGAGTCAAAGTCTCAACACACCCTTGTGTTCCTGGGCTCAAGCAATCCCTCTACTTTAATCTCCCGAGTAGCTGGGACTAAAGGCATGTGCCACTATACTCAGCTAATTTTTTTTTTTTTTTTTTT